GGTAACTGTTTTGATTTTGGTCAAGCAAGCATAAGTTACATTGGTTAAACACACTGTGGATGTTGGCTCTCTCTGACCCTCTGCGTTTTTGGAACAGATTGCTTTTTTTGGGCCACCAGCAGAATATGAAAATTCCTCGTGCATCCTGTGCTTCTAGCACAGCTTTTGAAAGTTTTCCCTTTTTTGGCATTTCTAATGAAAACACACGAGGGAAAAAGTGACTTGCCCGTTCTTTCCTCTGAGATAGTGCTTGCTTCTCATAAAATGAACACTTTATCACCGGTGCCTGGGAGGTTTAGGCTTATCGTGCAAGAGACATACTCAAAGCAGGTAGAACTGCTGGTTTGCCTTTCCTGGTTATTTAGTGTGAACTCAGATGGTATAGAGTAGTTTTCTGCCTTACCTGGCCTAGCCAGTTATTCTTGCTCGATGGCTAGTTACATGTCAGCGAGTGAAACCTGCCCCCAACCTTAAAGCTTTTAACCCAAAAGGTAGCTGCCAGGTTTCTCTCCCTTCCCAATATGCCCCTAGCATTCTCCACCAAAAGTCTTTTCCCAAAGCATTCTTGACATCCAGTAAGAGGCACATTTACATCTGTAATAACCGTGAATAAAAGTAATTATAATGTTATCTTTTAAAAAATAACACGTGGTAGGGTGGATCATTCAAATTGCTTTTTTATTTTAGATAAAAGCATGAGGTATTAGGCAGAACAAGTCCAGCAAGCCAGGAAGCCAGGAAAAGTGAGCTGGCATCTCTTTGGACAGAAGACTTTTCTTGAAAGCTGAAGAGGAAGGGGCTGAATCGCTTGTGCAGTCGTGAAGGGGCGGCTGGTGAGAAGGACAGGAGGTGCTTGGAACGTGCGCCCCGTGTGGGCGCCCTCTCTGAGCTGCGTGCCATTTATTGGGTCGTTTGGGTGGGAGGGTGTGCTGTTGGTGGTTTCATGTGGTTGAGACTGGTGAGTCTTAAGGCACACATGAATAAACACTCAGAAACCCTGGAGCCATTTACAAGGTCTCAAGTGTGGGAATTTTAGGAGAGGACTTCAGAATTCTCTTGTTTTAGTGGTTGGAGAGCTCAATTTTCAATGAACCCATGCTGAGAAGATTTCTTGTTTGATTTTTTTTTTTTTTAAATGAAATGCTTTCTCTGTGTCATTCATTTTTTTAAAACATTGATTGTTGATTTTTGCCTCAAGTGAAAACTCGAAGAGTGCTAGTTTTCGTGGTGTATGGAGGAGACTTGGGTTGTGTGCTGGTGCCTGGGAGGTTTAGAGGGTCCAGTGGGACTCATCTTAAGGACCAGCACTCATCTGCCTTAATCACTCACATACAGTGGTGATTTAGTAAAGATTTTTGTTTTTATAAAATTCCATTGCTTGAGGAACATTTGAAAGCCATCATTGTAAGGAGCTGGTGTTATTGTACACAGGAAAATTAGTTCATTTCGAAGAATCATTTCAGACTGTTCACATCTCAAAGGGATAAAATATGTTATTCTTTTCTTGTGTCTCACTGGGTCACAAGTGTCATCTATTGGAATGAGTGGAATTTTTTTTTTTTAAACAAAGACAAAACCAAAGCAGGTCTGCTAGTTTTTATGTCATAAATATATTTTTAGAGGCTAGGGATGTAGATCACTGATAGAGTATGTGCTCAGCATACATGAAGCTTTGGCCTTAATCCCAAGGACCAAAACAAAAAAAGGCAATTTAAAAAATGCAAAAATATATTTTAATTTTTGTAACTTTAGCATAGCCTATAAGCATGTAACTCAAACACCAAGGAGTGAAAACTTATTTATATGACCAGAGACATGGTTACATTTCAGACAGCTTTCATGAACACAATTGCTAGTTCAGCCTTCAAAAGAAGGCTACATTACTTCCAAGAGATACCTTGTAAGAAGTACCCAAGGACATCTTTGGTTTTTCAAGAGTATGTTAAAAATTTATCCTGTTTCATGTCTCCTAAAAAATAACATAAAGAGAGACCATGAGAATAGTTGAGTGTCTTGAAGAATACTTACACTGGCAGTATAGGATTGGATCTTTAATAGCTTTGACTCGTAATTGACATTTGGGTTGTGGAGTGGTCTGGCCTGTGTCATTTCCCATTATCCACCTCGGCGAAGCATTTACTGGCTGCCTTTCTGTGTTGTTCACTGGGGATTTCTCTTTCTGATGGAAAGATCATCTAGAATGGGAAGCATAAGCAGTGTTGAGATAGAGAAGAAAGAGTGATGATGATGGGGCTATGAGGGCTGTGAACCTGACAGTCTCAGTGATCACTGTCGAAGCATAAACTAGGGAGAAGAAAGAGGTAACATTATTAATTTTTACCCCTATATTTACTCTATTTTTTTTTTTTTTCTGGTACTGGGAATCGAACTTACCACCTTGCGCTTGCTAGGCAGGCCCTGTGACACTGAGCTAAATCCCCAGCCCCCCTACCACATTTACTCTAAAGAGAGTTATTAAAAAAAAAAAATCTCAAAATCCTGAATTTGATATGCAAGTTTAATTTGCTTTTGGTAGCTCTGTAATAGTTAACGGAGAAAGAACACTGTGTTTTCAAAAGAGTTGGGCATTTGCCAAGAAATATGTCTTTCATATTGGAAGCTACTCGTTGGTTAGCTTCCTACTTAATTTACTTTTGAAACAAAAGTCTTTAATTCCTACTCAGGAAGTAGGTGGAAAGCTTCAAGTATGTCAGTTTAGTAACCGTTAATTCTTTCTGATTTGATGCTGGCAAATTGCCAAGGAAATAATTTCACCGATCTTTTCTTTCTATCTAATCCAATTAATTTTCCCCTCATTTTAGTACTTTAGTGATCATATTAGTCACCCATCTCACTGCAACATTTTGACCAATGAGGGACCACATATGGGCTGGTGGTCCCATAATATTATAATGGAGCTGAAAAATTTCCATTGGCTAGTGATGTCACAGCTCTCAGAATGTATCTCAACACATTATCATGTGTTTTGTGTGATGTTGGTGTAAACAAACCTACTATACTGCCCGTCATCTAAAACCAGCATACACAATTATTTATAGTACCTAATAATTGATAATGACAAGTGACCATGATAATGCTTTACTTTTTATTGCTATCTTAGATTATGCTCCTTCTATTGATTAAAAAAGTTTCTTCTAAAACAGTCTGCTGTGTTAGCAGCTTTATACATCTTGTGTTTACCATATCTCTTGGTTGCGTTATTTTCTTTTGTTCTAGACTTAATCTTGTGCTTTTTTCATCATAGCCCTGGGGCAATACGTCATGTAGTAGGGTAGGTATGGGATAAGCCACACCATCTGGGTTTGTTGAAGTGTGTTCTATGATGTTCACACACTGAAATCACCTGACGACATGTTTCTCAGAACACACGCCTGTTGTCAGGCATGCATTGAGTTGAGATTGCATTGAGGTTTAAGCCACTGTGGGGGGCTCGGCATCAAAGCCATATACTTAAGTAATTTATTTTGCCAAAAACGGTAGGAAAAGAGACTAGTTTTTGTAGGGGAGAGATATTTGAAATTATTTCAGTGGCAGAATTCATTGGATTTGTCCACATTCTTTTAGAATAGTAAGAACCTGTGGATTTTATTTTTATTTAATCAGAACATGACATTTCGTGATGTGACATAAAACATGAATATAAAGCATGCATGTACAAGAAGACCATTTCCACAGTCATTTTATATCTTTTAAAGATTTTGAATTAAAAATAATCAAGTGGAATGACTTTGGTTGTAATTTTTTTTTATACCAGAGATATCTTTTATTTATTTTTTTTCTGAGACAGGGTCTCGCTATGCAGTTCAAGCTGGCCTTGAGTTCACTTTGTAGCTCAGGCTGGTCTGGAACTCACAATGATCCTCCTGCCTCAGCCTCCCGAGTGCTGGGATTACGGGCCTGCACCACCACGCCCGGCAACCACAGAGATATCTTTCCCTATGGTCATACCATGTGTAGAGACAAATTCCATTTCTATGTAAATTCAAGGGCCTTAAGGATAGTTGTCAGGAACTTCATCTTTTTCTTCTCCCTTTCCCCTTTGGCCCTCCTGAGAACACCCACGAAAAGGCAGCTCTCGTGGAACAGATCAGCCACTGGGCTTGGCCTCAGAAGGTAGAGATCAGTGTTACTCTCTGCCTTGTACAAGCTCTGGAAACTTTGGCAGATGACTTAATCAGCACCTCAGTTAATCTATAGAACTAAGAAACAATCATGATGCAAGAGATTAAGTGAAGTAATACATGTGAAGGCACACAACGAACAATTACATTCTAATTTTTAAAATTGGGGTGAAATCAATAAAGAATTTATTGTTTCAAACTTTTTTGTGCATGTGGTTCTGGAGATTGAACATAGGGCTTTCCTATTTAGCTAGTTGTCGCTCTTGCCCTGAGCTCTCCGGTATGTTTGTTTATAGTAGTGATTCCTGCCCCTCGCTGCCAGTTTTATTGAGATATAATTGATTAAAAAAAATTGTTTACATGTGCAGTATCCTATGTGATATTTTGATATTCTGTGTATACATGTGAAGTGAGTAAATAAAGCTAATTAACCTATCACTTCACATGCTTTTTTTTTTGTGGTGAGAGTATTTAAAATCTGCCCTCAGCAGTTTTCAAGTATATACTGTTACTAGCTATCCTCACGGTGCTGTCTAGCTCTCTCAGATTCATTCGTCCTGTCCACCTGAAACTTCATACCCCTGACCAATACCTCCCATCCCCTACCTGTAGTGTTTTAAACATTCCCACAGCTTATAGGATATGAATCAGGACCATGGGGTGAAATCCGCTTAAATTTCAGGGCTCCCGGAATACCTTGTCAAGATAGCAAACTCTCCAGCTCCTGGGTCTCAGAAATGCATCAGCCATACTTTTAAGATCATTGGTGGTGTTGATTTGCCCAGCTGGTTCCCAAATGTGTTGGTCAAACAATAGCTGTGTCAATAGATGTGTTTTTCGCTTTGCACTTTTCTGTAGGAATCGAGACTGAGGAAGGCTGAAGACAGGCTGATGGGCTCTGTTGGCGGGCTCTACTGTCTCACCATGACCGCTGAAAACCCGACGCCTGGAGACCTGGCTCCTGCCCCCCTTGTCACCTGCAAACTCTGCTTGTGTGAACAGTCTCTGGACAAGATGACCACGCTCCAGGAATGCCAGTGCATCTTCTGCACAGCTGTAAGTTTTCCTTGGTGTTTTTGTTACGAAAAAGTACGAAGGGAAAATTGTGAAAGCGCAGGATACGTGTCTGTGGCTGATTGAGCGGCCAACGTTTGCTGCAACGTGATCAAAGCAATCCTACTTCTGGATCCCTTTCAAATAGCATCTTGAATAGTAAATCCAATGTCGACTGGTTTTGCAGTCAGCATAATGTGTATATGAAATTTAATTACTGAGAGAATAAGTAGCACCTTTCTGTTCTTAAGATGCTAGCTAAGGAGTTAAAATACAGAACACAGTGTGTTTTAGTGAACTCTCATGTCTAAGAAGCTCACCGTTTTTGAGTAATGGAGCAATTTATTTTATCTATTGGATTTTCTTCTGTATTCCTACTCATCTCCTATGAGGCACACAATATGCAGTTGTTTTGCTTTGTCATGTCTCCTTTTGTTCTATTTCCACAATATGGTGAAAGCTTTTTGTTCCACATGACAAAAAGAGCTTCATGTACTAATAAAAAATAGAAAGTTAAAAAAAAAGAGCCTCCTGGATCATAGATCTCCTGGGGTAAACTTTTCTCTTTTAGTGTGACGCCTGGTATCCAGACCTGTGACCTTTATTATGAGTTTCCTTGCAAGGTGGTTGTTCATGGTATAAAGATAGAAGACAGACTGATGAATTCCTATGGCATTCAAAGATGGCAAAGAATAGTATTATTTGTTCTTCACCACATACCTGTCAGGCAGCAACCACGTTCCAGGAGCTGCTCTAGGCACTAGGATTTATCAGCTAAGGAAACAAAACCCAGAAAATATCTTTTCTCTGTGGAGCCTATAGTTTATCAAAGAAAGTTTCACAAAGGACAGGACTGTAGCAAATGGGTAGGTTATGGAGTACTGGGTAAGAAGGTTTTTAGGGAAAGAGGACAGCCTGGTAAATGGAGTCAAGGGGTCCCAGAAGACTTGGCTTTTTTCATGGCGTGGTCAGGAATGGGATTCCTGAGTGGCATATTTATGTTTCTTCTTCTTCCTCATCTTGCTAGCAAGTGTTGCTTTATAGGAAGTGAGGAAGTGGCCTTGTCCTTTCAGAGCAGCCTTGGTTTCCTTTGGTCTTGCTTGGTTTCTGAATACCATCCTTCAACATAAGATTATTTCTGTCTTTCTCATACATGTCTGTGATCTTTGCTAATCCTTGAAACAAATGAGTCAGAAGCAATATTTGGTGAAAACCAGGATGGAAAATTTTCTCTGAGGGTTACTAGTGTTTAAAAGCAAGTTATGGAATTCAGGTTTTTGGTTTTGTTCTCTCTGAGATTTCCTCGTGTAGAATTCAAGTTTGTGCATCAATGTTGGGAAAAGAGCACTCAAGCAAAGGTTTATTGCATATTCATAAGGAATTGACACTGATGCATTACCATTTCAATAGATTTCAGTTCTGTATTACAAACAACACAACTGCTTCTTATTTCTCCTTTAGCAGTCTGAGGGTAGGAGTTAGTACAATGAGATTACTCCGTCATCTGGATTCGTACTTCCTCATGGTTAGGGAACAGTCAAAAACAGGTCACATGGCTTGGTATTCTTGGTACCTTTCCAATTCTGGAACTTTTTGTGCTTATAAACATGAACATTCCCTAGACTGCTATTACTCCCCTACTACCTGTGATTACTGAAATGACAAACTGCGAGGCTGTGATTATACTTGTGTCTACACATTTGCAATTAGAATAAAACTCACTGGAAAGTTTTCCTTCTTTTTGATTAGAAATTAATTTCTTTTTCAAAAAAAAGCTGTAAAGTCTGTCTAATACTCCCAGCTCAAATTAAAGATATCAAATATCTTTTGTGTTTTCAAGGCGGAAAAGAAATTTGTAATAGTTCTTGATATGCCACTATTCCTAATTTCCATTTTTAAATAGGATTCGGTGACTTCTCCCAATTACTGACTGGGGAAAAACTTCCTGTGCATGGTATATTGTAAAGATGGTTTTACTGGCTTTGTTAAGAACACCCCAACCCCTACCCCTGCTCGTGTCCATTGCTCAAAGGTATTGGCCTTTCTACTGGGTGTTATGTTTGTGTATTTTCGTGGACGGGATGAAGTGTTTAATTCATCCCGTCTTTGTCCAGTCCTCTCTGGGGTCTCTTGGCCATTTTGCTGGGAGCTCTACTTCCTCTGGCTTCCAGGGATACTGTGCTCCAGTTCTAGATCTGCTCAGCTCAGCTGTGTGATGGGTCTGTGATTTATCTTTTGTAAAACAAAGGCGGTGGGACTCTTCACAATCCCTCAAATATGAGGTGCAGAATGGCCCAATGAGGAGATGCAACTCTACAGTTGAATGTTAGCCAGCCCACTCCCTAGCTTTAGGGAGACCTGGCCTTTACATAGGTGCCTCACATTCCAAGTTTATGCTTTGGACCACCAGCTCTGATGATCCTTGAATGAACTGATCCATAGTCACACTGGCTGCAGCCTGCCAGGTCCTCTTCCTCTTAGAGGGATGTAATACGGATTTGCCTTTTAGAAACTGTGAAATCTTGTGCTTCAGAGGAAATCTGGGGGACCCTTCTTCACTTCAGATGGAGCATTGCCATTTGACACTACCACCACCTTTTTAAGTGGAATGACTGCTGATTTGCCCATAACTAGTGTCCTGAAAGGCTACTTTACACTATTTCATGATGGTAATTCTTGGTTTAAATGATGTCCAGATAAAGGAATGTGATAAATATTGCTTCAAACAAACCATCAGCTTATCTAGTTTCTTGTTAGAGGGTGTTTTATTCGTAAAGATGGTTGCTGTTAGACTATCTGCTCAGCTTGAACATACAGAAAAAATGTAGTAGGAAACAAGGGAAGTTGAGTGTACAAGACAAAAATGGCATAGCTCTTACTGCCGCAAGCAAACTTATAGATCGCTAGGTATATTATAGAGCCAATGGAGCTGGCATTTCAGGTATTTTTTTTGCAGAAAAAGGTGTTGCATGGTCATTTGTGTTCTGAAGGTTAAAACAGCTCAAGGATGGCAAAGAGTCTCTGTCTGTCTGTCTTTCCTCAGTCAAATATAAATATTCAGACTTTCCTTTTCTACCTTTTGCAGCTCTTTCAGATAATGCTAGACAATTTTTATTTTGAAAGAAAAAATTCACAAAAGTCCTTTACCAAACTGGTGAAATTTGTGGGCAATATTTGCCTCTGATTTATTCTGGACACTATTTCTGACAGCCATGACCTAAGAAGTATTGAAAACACAGTTGTTGTATGTTTCTGTAACCTAGATAATTTCACCTGAAAAGAGTTGGTATGTTGGGCATGGCCTATTTACCTTTCAGATTAAAGACAGGATGTGCTGAGGGAAAGGAAAATAAAGTCCAGCTGTATTCTTGCCTTTTTTTCCATTACATTTTACTGGCTTGAGGTAGTTAGAACTCCTTTTACTATTCATTTCTCTGGGCCAAATGGATTTTCCACTGTTTAAAAAGTGAGAGAAAATATGAAAAATTTTAGACCAAGCCCTACATTCCCTAGGGGCCTGTTGGGTGACTTTTAAGAAAAATCCACAGATGGGCTGGGAGACATTAGCAGCTTGGAAAGATCTGCTGTGTGTGTGTGTGTACATGCACATAGAATGTGCGTGTACACACTGGCTGTTTGGTGACCCTGAAAGAAGGAACCTGCTGTAGTTCTGTTTTTTTTTTTTTTGTTTTTTTGTTTTTATTTCCCAGTACTGGGAATCGAACTCACGACCTTGAGCTTGCCAGGCAGGCGCTGTGCCGCTGAGCTAAATCCCCAGCCCCCTGCTGTAGTTCTTTCCACTGTGTGTCTGTGCATTAGGATCCCATGGTACCTCTGCAATGAGGAAAGAATTGCCATTTGCCTCCTCTCACCTCCGTTCCTCCCTCAAAATATAGAACAGCAGTAAAGAGCACCCATACAGCACCCGTACAAGAAGACCCAGGCTTAGGTTCAGGCTTGAGCCTGGGTCATTTAATGGTATGTGATTTTGGGCAAGTTCTTTACCTTCTCCAACCTTTAGTTTTCTCACGTGTAAGATGGGGAGAAGAGAAGTTGATAATGCCTACCTTGGAGTGCTGTAAGAAGCAATAAATGAGAATTTCAATAAAGTATCTTGTAGTACCAAGCCCATAGTAAGATGGCAATATCATTATTCTTTTCCCTCCCAAGTTTCATTTTGTACTAAGCTGTCCTGTCTTTTAAAAATGTTTTAAAGCAAGGAAAGCCTATAAAGATTTGACTTTATTTGACTGGCTTCCTCATTAACCTTTTATAAAAAGATGGTTATATATGTGGAGACACCCATAGTCTAACAATTTAGAAGAAGAAGGAGAGAGAGAGAGGGAGAGAGAGAATTTCTGTGTTGGATTTCTCCGAACTGTGGCTTACAGCTGGACTTTTAAACTGAAGTTCCAAAAGTAGGTCAGGAAAAACAAAATATAACTTTGAAAGTAAATCAATGAGCACATTTTTGATGGATGTAAAAGGTGCAGATGGAAAAGTATTTTCAGTTGCTATTCGTTTCAGACTTCTTGTCCCCAGTTGGAATATAATAATTTGTTAGCTTGATAAGTTAGTCTAGTATCGTTTTTATTAGTATATGTTTGTGACCCATACTAATTACATTTGTTTTGGGGAATATATATATTATTACCCGCTTCTATCATCTCTCCTTTTTTTGCTCTTTAATTATTCCTATGTTGAGGTTTTCACGTAGGAGCACCATTTTAAGTAACTTTTACTGAGAATTTTCTGGAACTGGAAGAAATAATGGGACATCTTATTCCATGCTAATGTCATAGAATTGTTTTCTGTCCCTTTTCCTGGTCATATGACCTGCCAAGTTTTGGAAGCCTCCAGCTTTCCTGTTTACTGTGTCTTCTATTACTATGAGATGGAAAGGAGCGCTATTATTCTGTAAGGTTTTGGTGTAAAACATCCTAGCTTATGAGATCAGTTTTCTGTTTTTTCCTAATTTTTCTTAGGAAAAATCTTTTTTCCTT